AGGTGCTTGGCGATCGTGCTTGCAAATGTACTTTATTTATTTTGTCGGAAAACCGTTGGTGAGATGCTCAGAAGATCCGATGAATGTTCTCCCCTCAATAATATATGTGTAAAACTTGGACACTGTGGTAGTAAGTAATTCCATATTAGTTTGTTTATTAGATGGATATATCACACAATCAGTGAAACAGTATTAGCATTTACTGGATGACGTTTCGAACAAAATTTATTCCGGTTCATAATCATTTCATCAATTATAATCACACGACTTTGACACTTGAGTTTTATAGATTTCTTTGTTCTCTCCTATTCGTCTTATGGGTAGTAAAATTTTCCAGATAACGGGGACAGGTGTTGAATCATTCCTATTACATGTATTTGTAGTTGATTCAATAAACAAACCTTCTGTTATCAATCTCTCCCTCCCTCCACCCTGTGATATTAGATTTTAAAACTGTCATCCTATCCCATCCATCCGATTGTATGGTTTTGTGTAACTGCATGTAGTGACTGCTACAGCTGAACTATTCTATATAATAATAATAATAATCACTTTATACCACAACAATAACAATTTACAGCATGGAATTTTCAGCGTTTCATTTTATATATTGCATTGGTTTAGCTCTTTTTATAATTATATAAATATATAAAATTTTAAAAATATTGATAGTTAATAGGAAAAATAAAAAAATACACCATTTCTAGGTCATAGTGAAAAATAAATAATATAACAAATCACACATGCAATAATATGCATCATTACATTTTATAGTTTAGTTAATGATTTAAAAGTTGTAAAAGTTCTTTTCTGATATTCGTCTCTTCACACAATACTCGTGCCAAATATGGTACGGTCGAATTTTTATATTTTGTAGTACGAGCATAAATGTTTATGAAATTTCTTCTGGTCTTACCCGAAGAGATACAAGGAAACAAATGGGAATAAAGAGGATGTTCACTATCAGACAAAATAACTTTAGCTAAGTGCTTTTACAAGAATTCATATGCCTATTGACAACAGTGTCAGTTAGTTGAGTCAAAGGGATAGATAGCACTGACCCTACTTACAGCCTTCAATGTTCTTCGTAGTATTATATGGTCTTTCTTGAGTAGCCCAGGGAATAATAATGGAGAACAATAAAGAATGATGGGCGAAACACATGAATTAATAAATTGTATGAGAAGAGATTGGGTTATATCTGAGTGCCTCAACTTCTTTATGTAATAAGTCAGATGGAAAACTTTCTTAGAAACTATAAGAATGTGAAACGACCAGCAAAGGTTTGAAGAGAAACTGATGCCAAGATAAGAAACACTTGACTTACTCCCTATCATGGTACCGTCAATATTACAACAATCATGAGATTGGATCAATCCATGCATGTCTTTTTCACTTCTCAAGCTGAAATCAACTGTATTACATTTAGTTGGATTTAGTTTAAGACCATTTGATCCAGACCAATCCTTAACTTCAGCTAAGAAGCTTCACATGGGAACAATCCGATATGGAAACTACAGGGACAGAAGCGGTCAGATCATCAACATACTTAATGAAGTTAACTTTGGGTGAGTTCGGAAGGTCATGCAAAAAGAAAGAGAAAAGAAATGGAGAAAGTACTGCTCCTTGAGGCACACCACTTTCAGTTAGCTGAGAAGTGGAGCGCTTTCCAGCCAAAACAGTATGCTGTTTCCTATCCCTTAAATAAGAAGACAGCCATCTAGTTTCCCAGGACTCTGTCTGTGCTGAAATCATCTTTCCTAATAAAAGTGTCCTAGGAACAGAGTCGAAAGCTGCAGTATAGTCTAAAAAAGCTGTTCGAACGAACTTAGCACCCTTATCAAGGCAGGAAACAATATTGTGGTGTAGTACAATGGCTGCATCTAATGTACTTCTTCCACACTTATAAGCAAACTGCTTAGGGTCACTAAAAGCTTTTAAAAAAGGTTTAAGAGTATTCAAAAGAAGTTTCTCCATAGTTTTCAAAAAAGGAGATGTTATAGCGACCGGTCTAAACTTTATACCTGCTCCAGATGATGATTTCTGTACAGGTACAACAATGATTTCTTTCCAGTCAGCAGGTACCGTTTCCTTGTTAAATGATGCATTAAAGATTTGAGTAAGAGGATGACACAAGATGTCTGCACACTTTTGAAGAAGAATGCCTGGTACACCATCTGGACCAAGGCTGTGTGTTGGATTTAAAGATTTCAAACATAATAGTACATCCTCTTCTTTAAAACCCGGAAAATGAACATTATCCTGACTAGGTACATCAGGTACAGGCATATTAATTTGTTTCTCTAGATTTCTTATCTTATTCGGGTCAACCAATCTAGATTTTGCTAAGTTTTTATGTTCAGCTAGTCTGACTCACTGCCCCTGTTCTACTAGTTTGACCTATGTATTTGACCTGACAATCATTGCAGACAGGGTATGAGATAAACTAAATTGTTTTGTCTTAAAGGCTCCACAGGATTGATCCTTTAACCGACAAAGCATGTTTCTAATTGAGTTTGCTGTTGGTTTGAATGGCAGCCACTTTTATTCCTGTCCACCTTTTTAAGAATTCTTCGTAAGGCTTCCAAGGGTCCTTCCTTGTATGGAATTACTAATGATGATTGTACTTGCAATTTACTTGTAAGTGCAGGTGAATTGATAATTCAATTGTTATTATTATCTGCGCATTTTCTCTTGTAGCTCACCAAGTTGGACTCATTATTAATCTTCTGATTTGAAATAATGCAGAAGATTTGTAGCTCAGGTGGATAAATTTGATTTTTTGTTGTGTTCTCTGAGCTGGTTTATTTAACAGCAAACAATATCGTCCGTGCAGGCTTTTAATAATAATAATATTCTTTATTCCAGAAACAGTATTAGTGGTACAGTGTGGAATTTTTAGCACATATCTACAATATTTGCCTCTAATTTTATCAAACATTTAAAAGGAGTATTTCAAAAATTAAAAATTAATGAATATCACGACAACAACTACAAAAACACAAAATAATTTAGAAAAATGCGAAAAAATACCCGGAAGTAGAAAGGAAAATAAACAGCATAATAAATAATATCTCAGTATCGGGCAGTGGAAGCAATGATATGATTATGCATGGTGACAGTAAAGCTATAGTCATACAAGAAGTTATGAAATGATATTTAAAAATGTTTATCGCCAAAATGGTCAGTTAATTTGGTTGAAACAACTCTAAACAATCATAAAAATGACATTTCAGGATTTGTTGTTTTGTTTTTTATTGTCAGGTTTAATGCAGTGTTTGTAGTGGTAGTGTGAGTAATCCTGCATAATACAAAATCTTCAAGGTGGTGACAATGGCGTTCACAACCAAGATTGTCAGTTAATATTGCCGAAAAAAAATAACAAATAAGGAAAAACAACCACAAAAACTAATAATTACATGATGTTTAATGACAGGACAATTTTGTACTACTCAGAGTGCTAATATAGTCGGAACCAGTAGATACACAAAAGAAGGAATACAGTGAAGTACAAAAATGAAGCCAGTGTTAATAATTTAGGTAGCTAAGTGTATTTAGGAAGGAGTTCACTATAGAATACAAAATAAGAGAGAAATAAAAGAGCTTAAAATTGTGTTATTAACGACAAAGCAAGTCATAGGTTTCGCGCTTAACATTGTCTCTGTCACTTAGAACACGGACCAAATATGGAATCGTTGAGCATATATTATTTTGTACTGATTTCTGATTTTACTTGATGAGATACAAGACGAGAGTTGGGAATAGACGGGGTGTTAGGGGTCAGACAGTATGGTTTTAGACCATTTTTCGCATGTATTCAGATGCCTTTCAACTAATGTGGTGACGAGCTGACTGGGTTTTACACCACTAGTCCTACCAACTAACTTCGACATCTTTCTCAGGATGGTATAGTCCTTTTTCAGCAGCCCGGGAAAGACTAACGGGGAGCAGTAAAGTAGTATAGGTAAGATACAAGAGTTGACAAATTGTGAAAGTAGAGGTTGGGTGATTCCAGATTGTCTAAGTTTCTTAATTTAGTAATAGTAGGTTAGACAGAACACTTTCTTAGAAATCGTTAGGATATGAGATGTCTAAGTAAGGTCGGAAGACAGAACTAACTTCACCGAGGTATTTCGCATGAGACTTAGTTTCAATTTTAGTCTCCTCAATGCAACAAGCATCATGAGTACTTACTAGTGTTTGTAGATCTCGTTTATGCCTAAAGGAGATAGATGTCAATAGTCTTGCATTTTGAGGGATTCAGCATGAGACCATTTAGTTTAGACCACTGACTGATGTTCGACAGGAAGCTATTTAATTCGAAGCAGTCTGACTGAAAACATTTTGGCGGCCTGTTTGACACCTGGGGTACCTTTCTGTACATCTACACATTTCCTTTAATATGAAATGAACTACTAACTTGAATTCTCCGTGAATAATTAATTACATAACTGTATCTCCTGAAAGCATTTTTCCCGATTGGTTGTTAATCTGCACCGCTATCGATGTTGTGTTGTATCGTGTGGCGTTTTCTTTTCTTTTCTATTTTTTGATAAATTTCACTGATAATCAATCAAATGTCGTTTCGTCACTGATACGTTTGCTTACCCAGATTGTGCGAATCCCCTGGCACTTTTTGTGTTGTTTCCATTGCTCAAATTCTCTATATTTTACTGGCGAGAGCATGGTCCATGGTTGTATACATATGTCTATATGTGCCCGAGATTTATCAAATTATCATCAATTTTTCGATTTATTATTTATCACTGAGAAACACAGTTTTTAGCATTAGTTTTTTATATTTAGTAACTAATGACAAGTTGTCTCTAATGCAGATAACATTCAGAGTCATAAATTCTCAACTTATTGAGAGCAGATAAACTGAAAAGTGAGATGTAAGCGAAAAGCTTCCCGAATACGAAAAATAAAAATGAAAAAGAAATGCTGTGTCTTTGTTATGACGAATATCCTCAAAACACTTTTGATGCATACACTGTTGATTACTGTCGACTTACACTCAGTCCGTTATGATGATTACACAGAATTATACAATCACACTGTTGTAAGCCTTTATCTGCAGGACAAAGAATATATTTATATGGCTTACAGTTGTACGGATAGTGCATTTGTTCAATTTGCTTGAAAGTGGTGCATATTCTATTCGAACAGTGACAGTGATTGGCTTTCACTGAACAATTACACACTATTCGTTCATATGGTGTTGCAGGTGGGTGTTTCTGTGCTGCTGCTGCTATTATTTTGGTTGATGACACACTTGGCGCTGATTCTCCCGACTTTTGTATATCTGTTTCAGGCAGTATTAGTAATGCTGGAGTTTGAAAAGCTGTTGTCGATGATGTCATAGTCCGTACTGATTTCGACAGTTCAGATTGTTTTGATATTGACAATGGTGGTGATGGTGGCGGTGTCGGTGTCAGTGTCGGTGTTTCTGATCTTGGCGGTGGTGTTGGTGTTCTCTGCGATTCTCTTGGCAATGGCAGTGGCAATGGCAATGGCTGTGGTTGTGACTGTGATAATTGTACTTTAGACTCAGTACTGTACTGTCTAGAAAACTCCTCATCTGTTCGACATTCTGCAGACGAATTTCCGATTGTTTGTTCACGCTGCATATTTGTATTCTTGTTAACAAGAGAACAACCACACATACAATAATTATTTCTTTCATTGAATTTACACTTTTGTGGACTTGATGTAGAAGCTGTAATAGTGAGTTTAACAGATGGCAGTTCACAATGTTGGGTAGTTTTAGAGCTTGTAGCAGTTGTCTGATTCAGTGGAGGCTCATGTTTTGATAGGGCATTTCGCTCAGTTGCATTATACACTGCTTTCAGAGGATCTAATGCATCCAGTGTTTCAACATCTGGTTGAAATAATGTATTCAAGGAAATTTTATTCTCTGCAAGTACATGTTCAGTATTATCAATTGACTGGACTATTCTTAAATTTAAAGTACCCGGGAGGATATTTTCTTCTTTCAGCACTGCATCAGAGTCATCTGGTAATAAGGATGGAGAACAATATGTAATAGAAAGATGATGATTTCGACAGCATTCACAACATTCACGGGGATATTTTTGTATAGCAAACTGTTCAGTACCTATTGATGTTGGATAATTTTCTAGATTTTCATTTTGGTCAGTTAGAACAGGCAAATAGGGTGATTTGCTTATATCATCATCTTGTGATGACGATTGCATTTTGCACAGGTTTCCGTCAAATGCTACAGCTTCACTTTTGACGAGTTCTTGATCATCCGAACTCATTTGTTGTTGTTGTGTTGGTGGCGGTTGTGGTTGTTCCAGCTGCTCTTCTTGTCTTTGGTCTGTATTTCTGTTGTAATAGTCGAAATTCTCCTGAAGTAGAACATACTCTTCAAGTGATAACTTTTCAACCTCTTCAACTTCAGTTTTCACAGGTTCATGTGATTCTATGTCTCTGTGTTGTATTGTAGTTTCAGTGACACCATGATCTTCATCCTTGAATGACTTCCTTTTTACTTCATCTTCTTTTTTAGACAGAGATATTTCAGTAATGTTTGTGAAAGATATTGGCGAATTTCTTGACGTTTTAGCTTGATGTTTTATAGGGGTTGTATCTTTTGAAAGTGTAGCTTCACTGGAAGGCTTTGTTGAAAGTGTAGGTTTCTTAATTTTACTGTCACTAGGCGTGGTACCTTTAGTCTTGTATGGTGACTTCTTTCTTTTAAAACAGAGTAGAGAATTCCTACTTTTGTCACTTTTATTGGCATTTGGTAATGTTGCACTACTGCCGATGCTATCGTGAACATTATCATCATCATCATCATCATCGCCATTCATGTTTTCTGTGATGATTGTGGCTGTTGAAATTTTCAAGTTACTATCTGAAATCGATGGAATTTTATTCTGATCTGTTTTTTCAATTTCAGATGTAACTGAAGGCAGTTTAACAAGTGTAGGGGTTAATGTCACCACTGGGTCAAGTGGAACAACGGAAGTTCTTTCAAATTTAAATTCTTCTGGTAAGCCACCTGGTAAAGAGACTTGCGTTTCTGATATAATCGAACCTTGTAATGGCTGTTTTGATGAGTATTGATTGGTTTGTTTCGGTGACAGTACTGGTGTAGTTTTGTAAATATGCATGACAGTCATTTTCGCATTTGGTAACATTTCATTCACAATCTCCTTTCCCACAACCTCGTGAGGCTGAATTTCTTCTTGTTGATCAAATGTGTGTGGAGTTTCTGAAGTCCTCAGTGCATTCATATCTTCACCGAAATCTTTATGTGTTTTCCCACCACACGGTGACATTCTGCGTTTACGGGTGGACTTCTCAGATCCACTCGATGTGTCAGATTTAGGTGAGACGTCCTTTCCACGTCGCTTCTTATCTTTACTTTCACGAGATGGACTACGATGAGATGACTTCCTTCTAATTCCCTTCTTCCCGAACTCGCTTTCCCTAATTTCTTCTTGTGGATCAAATGTCTGTGGAGCTTCTGAAGTCTTCAAAGCATTCGTATCTTCACTGGAATCCTTATACGATTTCCTTATACACGATGACATTTTGCATTTACGGGTGGACTTCTCAGATCCACTCGAGGTGTCAGATCTATGGGAGACGTCCATTTTACGTCGCTTCTTATCTTTACTTTCACGAGATCGACTACGATGAGATGACTTCCTTCTAATTCCCTTCTTCACAACCTCGTGTTCCTTAATTTCTTCTTGTGGATCAAATGTCTGTGGAGTTTCTGAAGTCTTCAATGCATTCGTATCTTCACTGGAATCCTTATACGATTTCCTTATACACGATGACATTTTGCATTTACGGGTGGACTTCTCAGATCCACTCGAGGTGTCAGATCTATGGGAGACGTCCATTTTACGTCGCTTCTTATCTTTACTTTCACGAGATCGACTACGATGAGATGACTTCCTTCTAATTCTCTTCTTCCCAAACTCCGTTTCCTTAATTTCTTCTTGTGGATCAAGTGTCTGTGGAGTTTCTGAAGTCCTCAGTGCATGCATATCTTCACCGGAATCCTTATGCAACTTCCCTCCACACGGTGACATTCTGCGTTTACGGGTGGACTTGTCAGATCCACTCGAGGTGTCGGATTTAGGTGAGACGTCTTTTTTTCTACGTCGCTTTTTATCTTTAATATGTTCATGTTCTTGTGATGGAGATTGCCCGGAGTTTTGTGAGGTGATAAAGTTCACACCACTATCTTTGTCTACTGCTTTTGTTTTCAGGTCTTCCTGAGATGTCGTATGATGTGAGAAAGAGCGATTGAATTTTTTACGTGTACGACGTTTCGGTTCTTGTGACGATGAAGAGGAATCAGAATTATGGGTAGATGTTTTGCTTGGTGTCTTTCGATTATCCTCACCATGTGATGACTTCTTGCGTGTGACGAGGTGTCCAAACTTTCTGCGTTTCACTGGCTTTTCTGTCCCACTTATTCCACTGCTGTCACTTGTTAATGATGACCTGTTTGAAGCCTTTTCCACACTACTTACTTCGTTCACGGCATCGCGACTCATTTCTTCTCTTTTCAGATGAAAATGTATTTTATCTGCACTGGTTTTCTGCAAGGATTGTGATGGTTTTGAGTCACTAACTTCTACAGATGCAGTTTTTTGAAATTTTCGATCTCGAATTTTGCGAGTAGATTTGTCAGATTCTTTGGAAGTAGATGACTTGAGAGCATCATGTTTTGAACTCTCCTTCTTGTCTTTAGTTTTGCTTGACGAATGACGACAAGCAAAAGCATTCTTCAGCCTCTCGATTACTGATGACTTCTTTGAGATTCTTTCTACTTCGTCGTCGTCTGCAGGCACTGATGGCTGCATTTGTTCAATAGACAACTTACCATTATCATTAATTTTATTGGGCGTCCCTTGGAGTGTGCTTCCACTAGACGACTTGTGAAGTATACGCGCCTGCTTGAGTTTTCGGCTTTTCCTGTCTTTTGTTTTCATTTTTATGGAGTGATCCTGTGGTGAGTCAGCCGGAAGGCTGGACGGTGTTATTTGATCGTGTTTTGCAGCAATACGTTTGCTACTTGACCGACGTCGATGTAGACCAATCAGTGAACGTTTTCGTGGCTTTGGCGAGCTTTGTAAATCTCCCATTGTATTATTTTCTCTACATTTTAGACCATCTTTCCTTTCCACTGATAGCCTACTACTACCTTCAGAAGACATCGAATGGTCATTATTTGGAAGTGATGATGCTTCCTTCCACTGACCAGCATTCTTCCAGTCAGTCGGTCTAATAGTTGGACAACTTGAAGCAATTTTTTCTTCTTCCTTCTCTCTGATAGATATTCCTACATTGATGGCATTTTGGTGCTTTTCACCAGTTCCTTTCTCTAGTGCATTCAATTTTGAACATGTTCTGGTATCGATGGCTACTACCACATATGTGATCTCTGGACTGTGATTATCTGATTGTTGCAGTTTATTGCGATGCTTCTTCCTCAGCTCATCGGATAGATGTACCTGTATCTGTTTGTTATACACACAATCGGATGTCTTCACTGGTCTGTAGCTTGATGGCTGTGTTCTTCTAGTCTGATCTACAGTATGCATTATGTTCACCAACGTACATCCGCCAGCATCATCACCGTCGTCTGTTTCACGTGTATAATTGACCGCATTCGACTCACTTGACTGAAGACACTCTTTTGAACAATTTAATACAAAATCACAGTTTTCATCTGACGTCCTGTAAGACTTCAATAGATACTTTGACATGTCAGAAGCGGTCAACTGGCATCATCATGGAATAAAAATGTTTCTGAATTTTTTTTCTCTGGACAATCATTACTACTATTTTTATTATTTCAAATCTATCCTTCCTTGTCCACGTGATCACAATATGCGAGAATCGATTTATTTGTAGAGGACTGGCTTTGTTGATAAAGAAAGGCAAGTTTATTTATTTATCGTATGTGTGCATATACAGAAAGTATAAGGTGTGATGACAATGATGATGATAATAATAAAGTTAATAAATATAATTCTAAGACAGCAAAAGATTTGATTGGACGTAGAAACATTTTCAATAGTTGGTTTGTAAGGATTAGATTTGCTTTGACGAGTTGATCACGGATTGTTATCAGTTAGAGAACCATTAAAAACCAGCCACAGGGAGTACTGCCAGACAGCTGTTTCATCGGCCTACTTTTGAGAATCATCGGCTGTACTCATCAACCACAGGCGGTTCGAACACAGGGCTTTCCGATTACAAAGCAAGTTCGTATACCATTCAACCACTGCGAACCAATGCAGTGGCCCATGAACTTTAACTTCTATCTGTTCTTTATTACACACGACCACCAACCAATGTCATCGGTGGGACATCTTTCCTCACTCTTGGCTAGATGGACGTCACCAGTCACGACTTCTTACTAGAACTCTAGGAAACTCTGTCCCGTAGTAAGTTACTAGCGAACACCTCAGTGGATGCGTACTGCCGATAATTCCCAAGAAACGAGGATGAAACAGCTGTCTGGCAGTACTCCCTGTGGCTGGTTTTCAACGGTTCTCTAACTGATATTAATCCGTGATCAAATTGTCAAAATAAATCTTAATTGTCAAAAAGAGTGTTATTACTGTCACTGCCTTATGAGATGGCGTTTCCATTTCCACGTTTATCAATTAGAGAAGTGTAACGAAAACCATATTCAACACCACACTGGCCATTTAAACTATTCTTTGGAATATGCCCGACGTCAGAATGGAAAAGTCCGAGATTTGAATCATTTTGATCTGACAAGGACATAAAGGAGATCAATCTGAGTGATGTCTAAATACTTTTGCAACTCGATAATCAGGTAACGGTTAGTTTTGTGTGAATTAACTATGATCATTATTAGTAATATGCATTTTTTGACTTTTAAAAGTCAATCTGAACGAAGAATATTCTTTTCAATAAGTTCTCCTATTCAGGTTCTTACAATTATAAGATATCATATAATATTTGTTGTCGTTACAATAATGATAGCCAGTTATACGGCAGATACATTTTTAACGTAGAATAACAGATTAGTGGTTATGGGGTGTCAAAATAAATAGTCGTATTTGTGTGACAAACGTGCTAGTCTGAATTCGATTACAAATTATTGTAAAACGGGAGACAATAGTGGTGATTAATCATAATAGATTTGTAGATTGTGGGGTAGGAAAATTGACAAGTCAGTTCAAGGTTATAGAAGTTGTCAGGTGAGTGAGTGGAGTGGCTAGTACAAAGTGGCCTGTGTTAAACAGGAGATAGTAAGACTGCAATGGGGAAATTAAGTGCATAAAAAGCTCGATCCTATCACACTTGGTCGATAATGGACATCATATCGATGTCAACACAGCTTTCAGGGTTGTATACCAAATTCCAAAGTCATTATCACGTACAGTTCGCTCACGTCTGCTACACATAGCTGAAGCTGTTGCAATAAGATCGCCTAAACCGAAACTTGTATCCAAAAAACAGAACACGTCCAGACGCTGTTCCTACCGTGACCAAAATTGGATTGATGATTCTTCTTCTCACCAAGAGTTCTTCCCCTTAACCCTCTTGGCTTTTTTTTGTTCCTTTGCTTATTATTACAAATATTATTAATATTCGTCATAATTTTTACTCTTCATGCAAACATTCTCTCAATACTATCGAGTTTTCCATGTATACTATCCGGACTTATTATTAGTGATATTATCTCTTTTCTCAATATATGCCTCCACCCGTTTCTCCATTTCACACATATTCGTTATTTCATTATGAACCACCTCTCGTTGCAGTCTTCCTTTCTCCTGTTTTGTACATACCACTTTGTACTAGCCACTCACCTAACTGACGTCAATTTTCCTACCTCACACTCTACAAATCTCCCGTTTTACAATATTTTGTAATCGATTTCAGCCCAGAGCACGTTTGTCACACAAATACGACTATTTATTTTGACATCCCATAACCGCTAATCTGTTATTCTACGTAAAAAAATGTATCCGCCGCATAACTGGACAACAAATATTATATTATGTTTTATAATTGTAAGAACCTGAAAAGGAGAAATCATTGAAAATTAATATTCTTCGTTCAGACTGACTTTTAATTCATGCGATATGGGAATATTTCACACTATTATACTTTAACCTTCAGTCTCCTCATTTTGTCGCTATATGAAAGGAAAGTTCCAGAATAATTTTTGGTCAAGAGTCAGATTAATAGGGTTACAATTAGGAATTAAAATGCCATAATGAACAGGGTGGTGGGACAGATAAAACTCAAACAAAGCAGCATCATAATACGTCCAACCCTTGTCCCTGCCGTGGCCATCATAAACAGGTAATTCTTCTAATAGTGACTATCCCATTGACTTTCTTATCAAAACTTCCTGTTTATTCATGTTATTTTAAGTTTTACTTAATCCCTCCTATTTACACTACCATATTTTCATATCCGAAACTCCTGTCCATTTTGTTATTTTATTATTTCTACACATTTAGTCCCTGATTGCATAAACAACTATTCGTCACATTAGTCATGATCCCCCTAGAATTTTTATCCAAACATCCTGTCTGTTTTCGTTATTTCTGCATTTCTAACCCCTAATTTCTCAATCATTGTTAATCTTCTCAATAATTATGATGCTACTTTGTCTTAGTTTTACTCGTCCCCCTGTTTATTTTGGCATTTTAATTGCTAAATGAAAGCTTAAAGTAGTGCTACCTATTAATACTTATCAACTTATTACTCATTTAAATATACACTGAAGACACACTTGATGAAGACGAAAGAAAGTTGACACAAGCTCTGGTTGATAACAATTATCCAGACAATTTCATCAGGAGATATAAAGTGGTTAGAATACCAGGACCCACTGTACAACTCGCCCCTAAGAAAGACGTGTACATCAAGCTACCCTATATAGGGCATCATACCGACTTGACAACTAAAAAAGACTGAACGCTGATGTTAAAAAGACTTTTATGCAGCTAATATCTTACTAATTGAGAATGTGAAACCAATATATCCATCTATTTAAACCCTTTGAACATGCAAAAAATGATGTCACATCCCACTGTATTTACCAATTTGAATGTACGTGTGGACACACACACACATACATAGGGAGGACCCATCGATCTCTGCAAGTAAGGGCTGGCTGGCTTCAGAGCATATTCCTTAATTGCTCCAGATACAAATGGAAACTTCAGAACCTATGAATGGTGAGAACAGGAGACCTAGCTCCTCTATTGAGAAACATATTACAGAGGAGACAGGATATAAAATTGACGTTAACAGATCTTTCAAACCTATGTGTAAAACGTGTTTGTGGTGTATCCTTAAGTTTGTGGAAGCTAGCCCTAGCTGGCAATTAGAAGGTGTAAACCACCTTTATGCGTTCAAAGCAACAATTCGTCATCACATTAAACCTTCCTTGGTAAATTTTGTTTTTATACCATAGCAGATGTACTATTACCTCTGTTATTTGGTTTAGTGGTCTTCATTGTTACATTGACCTTGAATATGTCCTTTTAACTTGCCTTAAGTAGCGTATTTTCTCACCTCTTAGCTCTTTATTAATTCCGTATATATTCCTATGACAAGTCCGTGTGTGTTCGAAATGTGTGTTGCGCAAATACAACAATACACGTTTCAGACAAATTACGTCTTCCTATTGCTTTATCTTATTACTTACTATTACGTATACTACTGAATAATTGGTGTGAGTAGTTAGAAACAAATCACGTCAAATAGTAGTTGTGTAACGGGAGATGACAAGAGACTGAATAACGGACCTCTATTAGTGAAGAAGCACATGTTTAAACATCCTTTGACGCATCACAGTTTAGCCAGGTCAGAGGACAATAAACTCTCCCGACTAGCTGGCAAATGTCTCAAAGTAAAACAAGCTGTCCAATGAGCCTAAGTCTTGTCAACAGCGTAAACTAAATCGAGATTTGAGGGATAAACAGATTCTACCTCTGCAGCCATGGCCCTAATATTTTGGCACCATTTATGACCAATTCCTGTCGGTCTGTATCACGGTACAGTAGTGCCGCGCCATTTCGCCTCCTTTTTGATTATTCCCATTTACTGTATCAAACAGGTGACAATGCGAACCGAATATGTTCGGTTTCCAAAGGATGCTGTGGTGATTCTCCACCTCGAACGTATGACCAGTTTGATTTGATACGATGTTAGCTTTCTTGTTGTGCTCAACACACAGATATATTACTCAATAACTATTGTGATGTGTCTATTCCTTTGTTTAATGCAGACTGAATTCTATCAAGTATTGGTTTTGTAGGGGCTTTGTTTGATTGAATGGAAGATTTCACCATGAGCTGACATCAGTTAGAGAACTGCTGGAAAGCCTGCAGGGAGTACTGGACAGCTGACCACAATACCACTAGGTGGCTCACCATCACGGTGCACTTTGAATTGTTTTTATTGGATGGTTGGAGGGAATCAGCAAGAAGCCTTCGACCCAGGTTTCATGCATGTTGGCATCCGTCAGCAAGGCATTTCTGATAACTTCTTTGACTGCATCACTCGGTGGCACGGGTTAGAATCTCAGAAGGGACATTACCTGTTCCTTCAAGCTTGCAGATACGCCTTGCTGATTTGTGAGCGCCAACAAGCACGAAATCCAGGTCTAAGGCTTCCTGCCACTCGCCCCCAACCATCCAATAACGACAACAATAGTGAATATATATAATAGGAAAGGAAGCTAACTGGCGAGAAGCTTGGAGTAACTTGTAGGTCCTCAGTGACATGCCTATAAATATTTTACAGCAGAATAAATGTGTCCACATACACAGAAGTTCTAGAACTTGAGAATGTTTTTTCAATCTCCGCCTATTAACCACTTCTTTTTTCATTATTCTCAATGGATTATAATGTTTTCTGATCTTCAGTGTGTGTGTGTGTGTCGATGGTTCACTGGGAGAGCGATCGGCAGTCACATACATGCCACGAAGTTCGATTCCTGGCCGATCTCCTCTTAAGCTTTGCCTAGTCGGTGGGTGGTAAGCCCAGGAAAGAGGCAGGGTTGGGCATATGGATAGTCGCTTTACTCTGTAAAAACTACACACACACCCCCGCACTACTGGAACTACTACTGACCCTGTTTTAGACCCTATGTGCCCCTCATAACACAATCAATGAAAAGATAAACGTTGTGCTGTTGAAAGATGTGTGGATGTGTGTATGACCAGCATCTTAATCTGTCGAGTTCATCAGGATCGCCATAACCTATACTCGGAATGTTTAAAGGGAATCACATAATTCAACATTTATTATTCCCTTTAATTTTACATGACTTATTTTCATAAATGTGCGTCTAGGTTTCTGCTGTTTCTAGCTACTCATGGAACTACATCTAACTATAAAAAGATGATATAAGGTAATCTCCTGCTCTGATACATTCTGCTAGTGATTTTATTTGTATATCCATGTGTCTAACCACTTTTCAGGTCGGCTACGTTTGGCTTCTCAGCGGACATATGCCAGTTTACGCCGTCTCTGGCTTAGTAGACGTGATATCCGGCTGGCTGTCGACCAAAGGGCGTGTGTACTGCTCAATAGTCCGCTCCGTCCTCCTTTATGGCTGGCTGTGAGACCTGGCCATTGAGAGCAGAAGACATGAGAAGATTAGCTGTCTTCGATCATAGGTGTCTGCGTTCTATCTCCCGCGTGAACTGGTATGATAAGGTGAGAAGAATTGAGGTTAAGCGTCGAGTGCTAGGTAGGTGGGGGGGAAATCAATAGACGAGGCTGTGAAATTACATCGACTGAGATGGTTAGGACATGTGTTACGAATGAATGCCTAGTCATCGCCTTCCTCGACAAGGTGCAATGTTAGCTGATATAGGGTCAGGCTGGAAAAGAGCTAGCGGCGGTCAAACGAAAACATGGCACCAGTCAATGAAGTCCACAACAGTTAGTCTAAGCCAGCCAACCACGTAGGAAGGTGTAGACTGGCTTCCTGACTGGTTGGGGTCCTCGGGACGGTGAAAACCAATGGTTGGAAACAATTGGTGACATGGCTCAAAATCGTTCTCAATGGCTGGCTGGCTGGCGCAGATGCATCCACTCCTTGTGACTTATGATTTCCAATTAAACTGTTTTGTTCTTCGTTATTACTATTCCTTTGTCTCACCACACCTCTGTTTACTGTCTATATTATTATTCATTTCTTCTACTTTCTTCTCTTGCTTTGTGTGCAACAAGCAGGGAGTGTGGTGACTTGAACTGCCGCACATATGTAGGAAGTTCTATGTCGAAAACCGACCGACCGACCTCAGCGGGAGTTACATCATACACTTTTGTAGTTCGTAAGTTTCTCATTAAAAGAAAAAAATAAAATAAAATACAAAAATTTCTATAGCAAAGCGCCTTCTTAACACAAATAAGTTAAGCATGCAAAATAAATGTGAAATGTCAAAAAGGGGAAAATTAAAAACAAAAAAGAGGTATTACGAAAATCAAAAACAAACCAAAAAAAGAAAGAAAGAAAAAGAAAGGAAAGATTTGAGTATCTGATAGTGTATAGACACAATAATAATAATGAACATCTAATCATCACGTGGAATTTCCATTGTTAAATAAGACGGTTGAGATGGGCGTGTATAGAAACACCGTTGACTATAACACTGGGAATATGGATTACAAGCACAGTTTATGAGTTGGGCAGAATGACTATTTCGATAGTGGCAACAGTTATATGGGAGTAAGTTATATGCATGTATACAGTGTGTGTATGCTGGAATGTTGCTATAGAAACAGCATGGATTCATCTGGAATTGATGACTTAGTCCAAATGTAGGAGGTACACAGTTGACTATCGGTGCATAGAATGATGGACAACAGTGACAGGAGTACACTGGTGCTGGCTGCGCTTGAGGCAACCCATATGACAGGGTTTTTATATTGTTATCCGGCGGAGTAGTCTTTGTATTACCTGAATTACCAGCAGTAATGACAGCGTTCCTTGAACTTGTAGGTTCTGGAACATTATTTTCAAAATTCTTTAAATCGGAGTTCTTCTCATGGATAATTATTGGTGACTTTTTACTTCTCAAAGCTTGATTTTGTTTAACATCATTAGTAGTGGTCGCGGCAGCAGCGGCAGCAGCATTTGTTGTTCCAGCCGAACGGAATCCCATAGGTGATGATGAACGGTCTAGTTTTTGTTTATCTGATAAGATAGTTGTTGTGTCGTCGGTTGATGATGATTTATATACACTGGTTTTACTTTGTACAACATCACTTTCCTTTGGAGAACTACTCTGTCTTTTATAGTGGAGTTTTACACTGGAGGAAATACTCATGATTATTAGGAGATATTTTTGTCGCCTTGTTTTTTATCTATATGCTTTACTGATTACTTCCTTCTGCCTGTTCCCATTGCTGGCGTAAATGTATAATAATAATAATAATAACGTGAATGATAATAACTGTACACAGAAATAATAGTGTAAATAGTAAATTCATTATTTCTGATCACTGATACAATCAATAAATATATTCAAAATCCGTCAATGACAAAAAATATGTAGTGTAATCCATTTACAAAGAAGCTAAGAGAACTTTTGAAGAAGAAGTTTAATGGTAACAACATATACAACGAACTGAAGCCTAAGGGATCCAGATTGCCTTACCTGTACGGCTTACCAAAGATGCATAAGCCTGACATCCCTATCAGACCAATATTATCTATGATTAATTCGCCGTATCACAAAGTAGCTAGGTGGCTAGCAGGAATGTTAGAATCGATCCGTTGTAAATTAGCAGTCTACAGCCTGAAAGACACCTTCCAATTCGCTAAACAGTTAGAGAATGTAAGCATCTCAAATAAATTTATGGTGTCCTTCGACGTGTCTTCACTGTTTACAAAAATCCCATTGGAAGAAACAATACAAATTATGTGTCAACATGGAACTGACGAGGATATCAAAGCAAGAATCGGAAAAGCAAGACAAGCTTTCACTACTCTCAAGTCTGTGTGGAGGTCAACAACACTCAGCATCAAAAATAAGATCCGGATTTTCAACTCCAATGTGAAGTCAGTCAGTGCTACTATACGGATCAGAGACTTGCACTGCGCGTCATAAACAGCATCTCAAACAAACTACAGACCTTCATCAACAGCTAGTTGTCTTCGCTCAATACCACTCAACATCAGATGGCCGGCCAGAAAAGATCAGCAACAGAGTGGGATCTCTGGCAATGAGCGAACCAACACAGCAGGAACCGATTGTGAAACAAATAGGCAGGAAGAAATGGAGGTGGATCGGCTGGCCATACTCTGAGGAAACAAACCATCAAGTGAGTGACATCACTAGACAAGCCATCGCTCGAGTGGAACCCGACTGAATGGGAAGCGGCGAGTTGGTCGTCAGTGCGAGGGTGAGGGTGACTTGGAGGAGGTGATGTGAAGAGGAGATGAAAGCGTGTGGGCAGACATGGAGCCAGGTGAAGACTCTAGCAGAGAACCGAACGCAATGGAGACGCACGGCTGAAGCCCTATGTTCCTCTAGGAATTAAAGGATACAATAATAATAATAATAATGCCGAACTTCTTCCTCTAATCAAGAACGGACTCAAACAACTTTTACTTATGTGCACCAAAGACGTACAGTTCCAGTTTAACAACATTCTCTACCGCCAAATTGACGGAGTCGCCATGGAAAGTCCCCTGGGTCCGATTCTGGCAGATATTTTTATGGGCAGTCTGGAACAAACAAGGTTGAAATCCGCAATCAGTCACACCAACTTCTCTACCAGGTATGTCGACGACAATTTCGTTATTTGTAATTCTTTTGATGATGCATCTCAAGTACTAAAAGTCTTGAACAGCGCCCATCCTAATATTAAGTTTACAATGGAGCATGAAAAAGAGGAGAAGTTCTATTTTCTTGACCTGGGTATCCAACGAGATATAGACGGCAAAATCATAAGATATATACACAGAAAAGAGACCTGGAGGGCGGTTTATCTTAACTTCAAAAGTTTCTGCCCTATAAGTAACAAAAAAGCATTGGTGAGAACATTATTTGATCGTGTAAGGAAGCTGTGTTCAGAAGAAAAGATTGAGGAAGAGCTATCCATTGTGGAGAAATGCCTATGCGACAACGGTTACCCACAAAAGTTCATCGACAAGTATGGGAGACGTCATGTTGAAAAAGTGAAAAGCAGCACAGTAGAGAAAAAGCCTATCTTTCTGCAGCTTGCATTCAAAGTTGATGATACTTCCAGTAGAATAAGATGCAGGCTGAATGCTGCCCTGAAAAGAACATATCCAGCCGCCAAGCTTGTATGTGTTTATCAAACAACTAGTTGTTTGAGACAATCAAAAGTGGACAAATACCCACCTCATGTTACCTCCAACTGTGTCTACCAATTTACTTGTACGTTCCAAAGCACATAAATCGGAAGAACAGAGAGAAGGGTTATTGTCTGCATTTCTGAACACATACCAAAGAACCTGAGACTGAAAGGTCCACAAGTATTAAACAGTGCAACTGCGCGTCATCTATTAGACACTGGTCATAATGTAGACAACTTGAAGTCATTCAAAATAATCAACAAGCAAAAGAAACCTAACTTGCTACGCTTTGCTGAAGCAATTGCTATCAGACGACTTAAACCAAATCTATGTACGCAGAAAGAGACAGTGGTGAATCTTGCACTGCCCTGGTGACAACAAAAAAATATACAACAGCTTGTTTTTGTTTCCAAGCCTAATTGCCTAATTATTCTATAAATATTTATAAACTGTCAAATATTGATCACAGTTCATTTGAATTATTCTATAAATAGTCAGTGTTTGTAACTCTTAACTAGTTAAATCACTCCGGACTAAGGCTAGTTTCACTTCCTACCAATTACTCCTTGTGAAAGTGGAAAAGTATGTTCAAATCTCTAATGTAATGTAATTCATATTTTTTATCGTTCAGGTTGTAACCAGTTGAGAAGAATCCTCGAAATAATAAAAGATGAGCTCATATTATCCTGGTACAATTGTTGTTCTTGCTTTGTTGAAGTTAATTAATGGGAAGAATTTCATGAAGTAATCCATTTAGCTGAATTTTCATACATTTGTAAATATGTATGTAGTACAATAATTACTGAATTCAATGAAGTACATTCGGCTATGAAATTCACATGTGAAGAGGAATCCTAAGACAGAATTGCCTTCCTGGATCACCGTCCTCCTTACAAGAAAACCAGATGGTAGCATAAAAAGAAATTTGCATAGAAGAAGTACTTGGACGGGACAATATACACACATTTTCACAGCTTCGTTCCTATCAAGTACAAAAGAAATTTAGTGAAGACCTCCTCGGCCACAGAGTTAGAGCTATATGCTCAGAAGAAGTAACTGAAGATGAATTAAGCATTGTATATGATACTTTAATCGAAAATGACTATCCCGATAAATTTATCAAGAAACACATGACAAAGAAAGCGGCGGAAAAGGACTACACACTGTCTGGAAACAAGAAGCCTTTATATTTACGACTACAATTCATGGGCGATATATACCAAGCGAGATAATTACGAAGAAATTAGGAAATCAGTTCAAAGAACTTTTAATGCTGGCGAATTACACGTATTTATCTCTACACGACCGATGGTGCTACCTCGACTGAAAGATGAAGTACCTAGACTAGCCACTTTAAATTGCATCTATTAATTCGACTGCGTTTGTGGAGCGAGTTATATTGACCGTTGCTCTAAGAACTTGATTTTTCGTGCTCACTCGAGAACATCTCCCACTATGGCTAAGTAAAGGTGTAGTTAAAACCATTAACAGCTCGATATTAGACCATCTGGTGCAAACCGGTCACAAAGCCAGCCTAGAAGAATCCTTCTCTATAATATACCGGGTGCCTAACAAATTACCTAAATCATCGAAGCACCTCATGCTCCAAATAGCAAAGGCTATTGCAATTCGCCTCAAATAACCAGTGTTCTGTGTTCAAAAGAAGCAAGTCCAGCTAACCAGCCCCTACTACTGACCTGGCCGGCCTTCAGTAGAAACTATAAACTCGTGAATTTGTACTATTATCTTTCCTAATTCTTCTGACATTCAGTTTATTTTTTGTTGATGCTGTTCAGCTGTAATTTACCTATGAGTAACTTTAGGATCTCTATTAGCAGTTTCTAAGGCTGCATTATTGATTGGTATATTAGTGCGAAGACTAAATTTTTTTATTATTCCTTTGCGTTTCCAGTGGAACCTACGGCTTGAAGCTAGAGCTTTGAAATTTCGGTAGCAGGGGTGTTTAATTTTACTGGATGGGGTTGCTAGTCTCATGCCCAGCCTTTCCTCTTTACCGGTCTAAATACTGGCTTAGATAGAGGTTAAGGAGTGCGTCCGTGACCGGGTATCGAACCCCGAACTACATACATGGTTGGTGGGCACTCTACCGCTATGCAACCTGTGCACAGTGCGAAGACTAGTTATGTCAACACTAACCAATTTTTTGGCATTATTCTCAATATTACTGTATAAAAAGCACAGTGAGACTTTATCCAAATAATGTTCCGATGGGCTTCCACGCATGATTCCTCACTGATGTCACGTAGTGTTTCCTGCTTTGCTCTGACAGTTGCAGTGAAACTGTCCTTTGTGGTTGTGTCCTTCAGTTTTCGAGTGTTGAACTTGCATCGTGGCCTATCCCCAGCTGTCCTCGAGGCTTTTAGCTTCACCTTGAAAGTCCCTTGTACTAGATAGTGGTCCGAACCCACATCTGCTCGTCTCCTTGACCTTGTGTCCAGTAGACTCCGTCTCCACTTCCTTGAGATTGAAATGAAGTCTATCTGGTTTTTGGTGTGTCCATCTGGTGTAATCCATGTCGCCTTGTGTATATCCTTGTGTTTGAACACACTGCCACCAATCACCAAATCATTGAAGGGGCAGAAATCTGAGAAGAGTTCACCATTTTCGTTCATTTCACCGAGGGCCTCACGACCCATGGTGAGTTCTCTTCCTGTATTGTCTCCTCCCAGTTTCGCATTCATGTCACCCATCAGGATTTTGATATCGCTCTTTGGGACGTTGTCCACTACTGTTTGTAGTTGTCTGTAGAAATCCTCCTTCTTGTCTTGTTCTGAGACGTTTGTAGGCGCATAGCATTGAATGATTGTAACCTTCTTTCCTTTTGAGTTGAACCTGGCTGTCATTATCCTGGGGGAGATTGGTTCCCACTGCATGAGAGCTTTAGCTGCTGTTGGTGACATGATGATGATGGCTACTCCCTCGGTGTGCTCGTGATCGTCCTCTGGGTGACCGGAGTAGATTATTGTCTCTCCAGTTGGTAGT